GCCGCCGCGCCCGCCCCTGCGCTTCCGCCAGGCCCCGGAAGCAGCAGCGGGGCGATGGCGGCGGAGGGCAGGGCGGCGGCGGAGGTGCAGCCGGCGGGGGAGGGCAGCGGAGAGCCGGAGGGCGGCTTCGGGCACCTGCTGGAAGAGGACGAGGAGGGGGACGACGCCGGCTACGTGCTCTACAGGTACAGCCGCGGCGGCGGCGCCGCTCCCTAGCGTCCGGGACGCGGCTGCTCCCTCCCGCGGCGAGGGAGCCTGGCCTCGCGTCACGTGTGGGGGAGGCGGGATGGCGGAGCCTTTCGGTTCTTAAGGATTTTTGCCGTCCGGAGGGCAAAATCTGCTGCTGGAAGGGGGAAGGGGCGGCCGCGGTGGGTCGCGGTGCCGCTAGGCCCGGAGGAGGCGGGGGGACAGCGGGGGTTGTGGGGGCCCGGGCGGCGTGTGCCGGCGGCGGTGACTGACGGCCTTCCTCTCCCGCCGGGTCTGGCCGGGGGGGTTGGATGGGGTTGGGTCCGTACTGGTTGGTGGGCGAGGGTTGGATGGGGTTGGGTCCGTACTGGTTGGTGGGCGAGGGTTGGATGGGGTTGGGTCCGTACTGGTTGGTGGGCGAGGGTTGGATGGGGTTGGGTCCGTACTGGTTGGTGGGCGAGGGTTGGATGGGGTTGGGTCCGTACTGGTTGGTGGGCGAGGGTTGGATGGGGTTGGGTCCGTACTGGTTGGTGGGCGAGGGTTGGATGGGGTTGGGTCCGTACTGGTTGGTGGGCGAGGGTTGGATGGGGTTGGGTCCGTACTGGTTGGTGGGCGAGGGTTGGATGGGGTTGGGTCCGTACTGGTTGGTGGGCGAGGGTTGGATGGGGTTGGGTCCGTACTGGTTGGTGGGCGAGGGTTGGATGGGGTTGGGTCCGTACTGGTTGGTGGGCGAGGGTTGGATGGGGTTGGGTCCGTACTGGTTGGTGGGCGAGGGTTGGATGGGGTTGGGTCCGTACTGGTTGGTGGGCGAGGGTTGGATGGGGTTGGGTCCGTACTGGTTGGTGGGCGAGGGTTGGATGGGGTTGGGTCCGTACTGGTTGGTGGGCGAGGGTTGGATGGGGTTGGGTCCGTACTGGTTGGTGGGCGAGGGTTGGATGGGGTTGGGTCCGTACTGGTTGGTGGGCGAGGGTTGGATGGGGTTGGGTCCGTACTGGTTGGTGGGCGAGGGTTGGATGGGGTTGGGTCCGTACTGGTTGGTGGGCGAGGGTTGGATGGGGTTGGGTCCGTACTGGTTGGTGGGCGAGGGTTGGATGGGGTTGGGTCCGTACTGGTTGGTGGGCGAGGGTTGGATGGGGTTGGGTCCGTACTGGTTGGTGGGCGAGGGTTGGATGGGGTTGGGTCCGTACTGGTTGGTGAGCGAGGGTTGGATGGGGTTGGGTATGTACTGGTTGGTGAGCTGGTCTGTGCCCCTGGGGTGGGAGGAGGGATGTGTCCCCGGGCACGGATGCGGGATGTGGGTCAGGGCTGGTGCCGCTCGGGAACGCAGGCAGCCCCGCATCCTGTCTTTTGCAGGGACAGAAAGGAATGGGCAGATATTGAGCCAGTCCCTCAAAGCGATGGGCCGAGCCCTGTTGTTCAGATCATCTACAGTGAAAAATGTGAGTTCTAAATGTGCACTGAAGACGTGAGGTGGTGCGCCCTCAGCCTTGTTAACACCAGGCTTTTCCTGGTTGGGATAGCATATTTTTCTAGTGTAGTTCTGCAAAGAAATTAGTTTAATGTTTTTTGTGTTATTGTGGTTGTGTGTTGTGTTTTCACCAAAAATCTTTGAAGTTGAATCTTCCCTGAGCTATTCATAGCCAATAGTTTTACTTTAAAATCATATGACTTAAAAAGTAGTATAACAGACTGTCTGGTTCACATAATACTGCATTTCTCACCCACAAATGAGAGAGAGAGTTGTGAAGCTGCTACGTCTGGGGAAATGGTGCTGATAATTTTTTTTTATTATTTTGTGTATTATGCAGATGATGTACTTTTAAGATATTTTTGCAGCTTTTTGGTATACGTATATCATTTAGAGGTTTCAATTGGCAGTGCTGTCAGAGCAAAGCATAGCTGTCATTTTAGAGAGGTATGGTATATTTAAAGAACACAAAATAGCAAGTAACTTCAAAGAATTGTTAGCCTTACCCCCTAATCAGGCCATTGCCTCATAGCCTTGGATAAGATGCTGTTATCTATTTAGTTCAAGATGTCTATGATTACTTCCGGGCTGTTGTGCAACGGGATGAGAGAAGCGAAAGAGCTTTTGAGCTAACAGCGGATGCTATTGAATTAAATGCTGCAAACTACACAGTATGGTAAGTTATAATCTTGGGATTATTTCTAGCATCATTTGATTGCTAACCTCTTATGTCTTTAATAATTTTGTTAGTCTAATCGGGGCATGACTAGTTGAGTTTACACAGAGGAGTAGTGTAGAACTGCACTGAGCATATGAAGAAGGCCTTTGTGCATTATTTTCCATGTCTTGTATTGATTCAGTGGTTTTCATTCATTTGGCTTTGAGGATATTAACAATCAAGGTCAGGATTAGCCACAAAAAGAACTTTACTGTTTAAGATTAGATCACTTGCCTGATAATGTGGTCTTGGCAAAATGCAGAAGATGCCCTCCCTTGACTTCAAGAAGAGACAGAACGATAGCTGCTATTTCCCACTAAATAATTGTATACTTACTAAGTAGTGCATTTTAGAAAATCTGTCAGGTTAAAGTGCGGTTAGGTAATGAATAAACAGTGAGTTTCTGATATTCAGAGTAGGGCTTTTTAACTTGTGAATGCTAAATAGTATCTCTTGCATGTCTATTCATATATGTCTATTTATGCACTACTTGCATAAAATCAGAAAGCTTATATTATTTTAAGACATATTTAAGTCACAGCTTCTGTGATAAGACTAGTGTGGGTAGACAGAGGTTAATTTGAAACAGGATTGCTGTGATCTTAGATAAAATACTGTTGTAACCAGTTGTATTCCAGTTCTCCGCTGTTCAATAATTGAATGGCCTTTACCAGAAGTGAATACATGGTTTAGGTTTTTTTGCAGTCTTTATAACTCAGCATCTACTAGAAGAACTGTGAACAAAGGTTCTTCCCTGTTCTCCTCTGTGAAGTTCAGGAAAGCCTCGTTGCAGTGTTCAAATGCTTGACTTTTATACAGGCATTTCCGGAGAGTCCTCCTGCAGTCTTTGGGAAAGGATCTCCATGAGGAACTTAAGTATATTACAGCTATCATTGAAGATCAGCCAAAGAACTACCAAGTCTGGTAAAATCATGTTTTCAGTTCTTAATTTTTTTTGCATATAATTTTTGTTTTATAAATTGTCTAGAATAACTTGTGATCATTGATCCTCAAAGCTGTTAAGAGTTGCTTCTGGTGTCTACTGCATTGGCAGCAGTGGAGGAGTTAAATGGAGTTGAATCAGTATCGCTACCAAAGGCCTCTGTGGCAGTTTGTTCCAAACGTATAATTATGACATTCTAAAAAGGTCTTGTTTTCTGTTAATTTCAGTTTTCCAACTGTCAAAATAAGGCTGACATAAAAAAAAAAAAAAGATTCATGAAAAGGCAAACAAAAAGACAAATAGAAATGAGTAATTTTTCTTTCATTGGCTCTTGGAGTTTGCCTAGCTGTTGTTGGGTTTTTCACAGCAGTATGTGAATGGAGAATAGGCAAAACAGCAATGTTGTTATTGCTAGAGAAATTATGTAGTACTAGAAAATTTTATTCTGCTGAAGAGCATTAAAAGTGGAAACATATTACTCAAGTAAACATAACTTGTCTACAAGGAGGTTATTTGTGTATGTGGTTAGAATTTGTTGTAGTATAAGTATGCATCACATATTTCTTAGAGCCAAGTGAGATGTTTAATTTGAAATATTTCACTCTGCTTAACTATGTGGTTTTTTCTAAGTAGTACAGTTGCTATATGCTGTTTTACTATAGACCACACGTTCACAGAAAAATTTGTAGACTATTATAAAAATAGTTTCCTCTTCCTGCCATTAGGCATCACAGACGTGTGTTGGTGGAGTGGCTGCAGGATCCCTCCCAAGAGCTTGAGTTCATAGCTGACATTCTTAACCAAGATGCCAAAAATTACCATGCGTGGCAACACAGACAATGGGTTATTCAGGTAATGTATCTGCAGAGTACAGAGTCACTAAATAACCTGCTGAGGTTGTAGAGTTTTGCTGCTTAAATACAATCCAAATTGCATTTTGCACTTTGTTTAAGGCTGAAGGGTGAAAAACAATTGCATTTTAATGTGTGGTAGAGGTTAGCTACAGACTTGCTTTTTATGAATTGAGTTCAAAAATGTCTGGTTTTGGCTGCTTACTGTTATGTGCGTGCATTTAATGATAAACTAATACCATTGCTTGCAATTGAACAGTGTAGCATGCTCATAGTGCACTTCCTTATTTTTCTTTGAATTTTGTATTGATTTCTTTAAAAAAGTCTCAGTAAAAGTGAGGAGAATACATCTTAAAAAATGTAAACTTTTGGTTGTGATTACTCTCTCTTCCTTCGCTTTCCATAGGAGTTCAAATTATGGGACAATGAACTGGAATACGTAGACCAGCTTTTGAGGGAAGACGTGAGAAACAACTCTGTTTGGAACCAACGCCACTTTGTAATTTTCAACACCACTGGCTATGATGATCCAGCAGTCCTAGACAGAGAAGTCCAGTTAGTAATGTTGTTCATGCTAACATTAAGCATTCTCCATTACATGAAAGCAAAGAAATACTTTGACAGTCCATGTGGGCTTGTCTTGCCTGTTCTTAATGCAGGTTTTGGGCTCCCTCTCATGGATAGGAGATCAAGTGTTAGTGCATATATAGAGGTGTTTGGTACCACCGACTAGTTGAGTAGACTGAAGCGAGCTATGCTTACTCTGGACAAGCTCTTCTCATGAACCTGTCTTCCTATCTTGTAGTTTATTATACAAACAAAACTTTGGCTTTTTATAGTCAACTAGTTATAGTGGAACAACCTGCAAAAAGTCTGTGACACTGGAAGCACCTAAGTTGTGCTGATCGGTCGTATATCTTGCATCCTGCCCTTAGAAAGCTTGGAAAGAGGGGTACTCTCAGTGTTGTACTAATCTGCTATGTTAGTAGTATGGTAGCCACAATGATTTAAAGATAACATGGATGCAGGTTGTAGGAAGAGGAATTGCCTTTTGTGAAGAATGTCATACAGCTGAAAAAAGAAAGAATTTTTCAGGAGTATGTGATCAGCACAAAGACAACTAGCTGTTTGAGTTGGTCAGTTTTGAGGAAAGTGATCTTTGGAAACTGTTTCAAAGTGGTGTGTTTGTAACTGAAGATAAACTGGGCCTATAGCCATTTGTTTCACTACTGATGGTGGTAAAGGAAGCTTCCTTGTATGGTTTTCACATCTCAGACTGCTTATCAGGGTTGATGGTTATGAGAGCATGTTTGTCTAAAGAGAAGAAGCAATGAGAAGGTACTGCAATTTTTTGGAGTTACTCTTCTGAAAAAAGACTGAAACTCTGAATAGTTCCATTGGTACATTGTTCATAGAAGATCCCAGCCCTCACCACCTTTCACTGCTTTTGCAATGTTCTTTGCAAACTGCAGTAAGTTGTATTTCACTGAACTTCACTGAATTTTTAGAGTTGGAAGGGACCATAGAGATCATCTAGTCCAACTCCCCTGCTGAAGCAGGACCACCCAGAGCTTGTCAGAGCGTGTTACTTGTACTTCTCTTTCAGTTTATAACTTTTTTGCAGATAAATAAATATGAACCATTTCTATGACTTAAGCTTGGATATTTCCAGCTTTTTCTCTCCAGAGAGAAAAATGCTGCTATGTTAAGCATAATTGGATTCTATCTGAAGAATCAGACTAAGGTTAAGACTTCCTAGATGTCATTATAGAACTGTAGTTGGGCTACTTGTTGTTTGATAAACTCGGTCTTTGTCATAGTGACTGCAGAAGTTTAAAAAGGTTTAGGGCGGGTTTGAGGGTTTCTTTTCAGTACTGCTTTAGAACTTTTTGTCAGTATCTGCTGTCTCTGCAAATCAGCTGAATGCCTTGTTATTCTGGGGAAGGGCAGAAGGCAAAGTTTGTTTTGTGAAGACAAAGTATGGCTTTGTGACTGTATGGCAGGTGCCACTGGTTGCTTGGCTTTAGAGGAGTTGCCTAACCGCTACTTTAAAAGAACTGCTGCAAAAGGCTGTGTGAGCTGACAGCTTGACCTTTCTGTGGATTGGCTAAAGTGCAGACTCATGAAAAAATTTCTGTGAATAGGTACAGAACATAACACATGCAGTCATATTGACATAGTTTACCCTGAGCTTTGAATGCTCTAGCTTTTTAAGTCCCTTACCATTTTTGAGCATCAAGACACAAGGTATTCCTTTAGCATACCAGGAGAGTGTATCATGTAGTTTCTTACTTGACTGTGGTGACAGTCAACATGGTATGATGGCTTTCACAGCACTGGTAAATAAGGGAAGAGCAACTCATGTTAACTACCTAGACTTGAGCAAAGCATTTGACACTGCCCTGCACAGCATCCTTGTCTCTGATTTAGAGAGACATGGATTTGACAGATGGACCACTTGATGGATAAGGAATTGGCTGGATGGTCACATGCAAAGAGTTGCAGGCAATGGCTTGATGTCCAGGTGGCAACCAGTGACGAGTGGTGTTCCTCAGGGGTCAGTACTGGGACCAGTGCTGTTTAACATCTTTGTTGGTGACATGGCAGTGGGATTGAGTGCACCATCAGCAAGTTTGCTGACGACACCAAGCTGTGTGGCATGGTCAGCTTGCTGGAGGGAAGGGATGCCATCCAGAGGGGCCTGGACAGGCTTGAGAGGTGGGCCCATGTGAACCTCATGAAGTTTGACAAGACCAAGTGCAAGGTCCTGCACATGGGTCAGAGAAACCCCATGCACAAATACAGACTGGGTGGAGAATGGATTCAGCCCTGGTAGAAGGACTTGGGGATGCTGGTTGATGAGAAGCTCGACATGAACTTCTTGCTCAGCCCAGAGAGCCAACTGCATCAAAAGCAGTGTGGCCAGCAGGTCAGGGGAGGCGGTTCTGCTCTACTCTGCTCTGGTGAGACCCCACCTGGAGTACTGCGTCTAGCTCTGGGACCCACAACATAAGAAGGAGATGGACCTGTTAGAGCGAGTCCAGAGGATGGCCGTGAAGATGATCAGAGGGCTGGAGCACAGCTTCCTCTATGAGGACAGTCTGAGAGAGTTGGGGTTGTTCAGCCTGGAGAAGGCTCCAGACAGACCTTATAGCAGCCTCCCAGTACCTAAAGGGGGCCTACGGAAAGGTGGGGAGGGAACCTTGATGAGGGGGTGTAGTGATGGGACAAGGGATAATGGTTTTAAACTGAAAGGTGGTAGATTTAGCTTAGGTATATAGGAATAAATTCTTTACTGTGAGGGTTTTGGGACACTGGAACAGGTTACCCAGAGAAGTGGGGGCTACTCCATCCCTGGAGGTGTTTGAGACCAGGGTGGATGGGGCTTTGAGCAACTTGATCTAGTGGTTGGTGTCCCTGCTCATGGCAGGGGGGTTAGAGTGAGATGATCTTTAAGGACCCTTCCAACTCTAACTCTTCTGTGGTTATTGCTTGTAATTTTGAGAACTGTTTCATTATTGTATAAAATGCAGCAAATGGAACACTTCAGAGTTTCAAACTGTTTTCACAGTGTCTGCCTATGAGACTTGTAGTGATTATATTATGAGGCTTTTCTGATCTATCACCTAACTGAGATGATCTACAAAAAGACTCTGAAATACAGACTTGAAGGATGTATTTGGGAATGTCTGGACACATTCAGGCAATTTCTGACCGCATTGTTAGCGGCTGCATTCATGATCTGTTATCTTTTTTCACAGATACACTCTTGAGATGATCACAGCAGTGCCACATAATGAGAGCGCTTGGAACTATTTGAAAGGGTAAGGCATACTTCTCTGTGGGGCAAAGAGAATATCTGTAAAGGTGTCTTATGCTTGGCTTTTAACTGTAAAGAGCTTGTTGCTGTTCATTCCAGTGTTGTGTGCTATAACAGGCAGGCAAAAAACTCCACAAGCAATTAATAACCTGATTTCTCTATAACTTAGTGGTCCACTAAGTTTCTGGCCCTGTTCTTGTGGGGGGATCGCAAGCACGTTTCGTGCTTTTAAAAAATTGACCTGTAATGTTACTGGTTCAAAAGCATAGATTAGAAGGTAATGAACATGCCTTCAGTCTAATTTCTGTTCAGTTGAGTGTAACGATACTAGCTTACTACAACATTAAGCTGTATTATTGCTGCATGCTTCTTACATTCTGCCTTATGTGTATTTGCACCCCTATTTCAAAACTGACTGATCTCCTGTCATGGTTTGACCCCAGTCAGCAGATAGGACCACACAGCTGCTCGCTTACTCCCCCAAGTTGGGACTGGGGAGAGAATTGGAAAAATAAGTGAGAAAATGTGTGGGTTGAGATAAAGGCAGGTTAAGTAAAGCAAAAGTTGTGTGCACAAGGAAAGCAAAACAAGGAATTCATTCGCTACTTCCCATCGGCAGGCAAGTGTTCAGCCATCTCCAGGAAAGCAGGCCTCCATCATGCATAGCCTTCACTTGGGAAGACAAATGCTGTAACTCCCAAGCGCTCCCCCTTTAACTCCCTCCTGCACCCAGCTTTATATACTGGGCATGATGTCACATGGCATGGAATATTCCTGTGATCAGCTGGGGTCAGCTGTCCCAGCTGTGTCTTTGCCCTCCCACCCAGCCTGCTTGCTGGTGGGGCAATACGGGGAGCAGAAAAGGCCCTGAGAGCTTAGCAACAACTGAAAACATCAGTGGACTATCGAAAGTATTTCTGATCCAAAACAGAGCAGTATACCAGCTGCTAGTAAAAAAGCTAATTCTATCTCAACTGAAATCACAACATCTCCAAACAAAGGAGTTATAACAAAAATGTAATTCTTTACACAGGATTTCCCAGCGTAATGTTTCAAGCCTATTAACCTCTCTTCTAGGATTCTACAGGATCGTGGTCTTTCTAAGTATCCCAATCTGTTAGAGCAACTGTTGACTTTACAGCCCAGCCACAGTTCACCCTATCTGATTGCCTTTCTTGTGGACATATATGAAGATATGCTTGAAAACCAGTGTGATAACAAGGAGGAAACACTAAACAAGGCGTTAGAGGTACATTTTAAGAGCTTGGCATTGTTTCTCAGTGATGCCATCTATTGCTGTCTTGACAAAATGGGATTGATTTTCAAAACTAGAAGAGGCTACTTGTTAATCACAGGAGTTCTATGAAGACTTGAACATGAAATCCAGATAATCACAAGGGTCTTGTGAATTTATGTATAAATAATAACTTGCCAGTTATAAAATCAGTGTAAGTTTTCTTCACCTGGCAATAAAGGAAGGTTTCTAATATTACCTGCAGAAGAAGGGTGATGTTTGCACAATAAAGAAGTTTCCAATGCTAACTTTGTAGCCTGAACTTACTTTTTAGTTTGTAGGTTAGTGAATCTTGTTCTGTGCATATCTGTATCTAAATAGAATCTCAAGCTTCCTTTGCACTAAGAAAACTGGCAGAATTAGCTTAAAGCCCGGCTGGCACTGGGAACATCAGTAAGAAATGTCAGGCATCATTTCCTACAGAGAATAAGTGACTTCTAGCAATGTTGTGTGTCTCCCTGTGCTTCATAGTTGAGGAACTCCTTGCTGTGGTTTGCAGTGTAGTTTTTACAAGAACACTTTTCATTCACGATGGGCCAGACTGTGGGAACTCAGTGTAACTAGAGCTGCAGTTCTTGCCTGGAGTCTGTGTTCCAACAGCATTTTTTCTCAACGTTTTTCCTTTGTTGTGTTCCTGGACCAGAGTGTAAATAAGTGCAGTTGTACCTCACAGATTCATGTTTCTTTATGCTATTTCACTGAGTTTGACTACTTTGTCTATTTAGGCGTCGAAGCTACTATTTCTCAACTCTGGTTCACTGAATTAGGCAATGTCATCTGCATAATAAAAGAGAATTGACTAGAATGTTGAACAGTAGACAGTGTTCATACCATATAAACTTTACACAGCGTGTCCTGCGAGCAGGGTTGACTTCTGCTGTGCCTCACTGCTCACCCAGATCAAAATAAAACAAAAATTACAATGTGTAGAAGTATCTGTATGTGATCATCTCTGACACATTGTGAGAGAAGGTTATTGACTTGCCTGAAGAATCCTTTTGGGACAGTCTGCTAAGAGAAAAACCACAAGCAAAACATCTCCTGTCGGTTTATTTGGAGTACTGAAGATTCAAGAGCAGGATGTTGCCCCAGTGTTTTGAACTAAGTCCTGTGCAGCCTACTGGATCCCTAAAAGGCAATTGTCATGAAGTTAGAAGTACACTGTAGTATACTGCAGGCTGAATAGGCTGGGGTAGATGATGAGTGGCAGGCATGGGGAAGTAGTTGCAACTGAAATAGGACTGGGGGGGTCTTCGTGTAGTGTAAGATTGGTTGACTGCCAGTTGGAGTAGACGTGAGTTTGAGTTATTGGACAGTTGCAAATCTGGTGAACAAAACGAATGCTGTTACTAAGAAAAGTGTTTCTAATACTAGCTGAACCATATATTGTGTGCATTTTATAAAGATAATAAGGTTTCCGTAAAGCTTTTGGTTATAACACTCCAATATCTCATTTTTCTTTCATAGCTGTGTGAAATTCTGGCTAAAGAAAAAGACACCATCCGAAAGGAGTACTGGAGATACATTGGAAGGTCTCTTAAGAACAAGCACAGCTCAGGCACTGAACAGAGCACGCTGGCAGACAAGCAGCAGTAGCTGAACATGGAAGAAAACAACGTTAAGCTCTCAAGCCGTTCTGAAGCAGTACTAAGTAGCATCATAAGCTAGTTTAAAATCCAGTGTAGTATTCCCCTGCTGAAGAAGTATTGTAATGAAAGAGGAGTGCAGTGCTGTATAGTCTCAGGTTGCTGCAGGTGATAGAGCTAGATACAGTTAAGAAATGAACTAAGGCTTAATTATTGAAATATACCAAATAAAGGGTCTATTTCCTAATAATGAATACATATACCTATGTACCTATACATAGGTATAGCTATATCTACTCTTTAGCTACATAGGTACATAGTCACATAGATTTATATACCTACATAGGTATATAGGTAAACTGTACCTACTATTTATAAGGTACTAAACCAATTTCTCATGCCCTGGCTTATCCACTCATGGTTTCTAACACAGTCACATCAGATGCAGTAATGCCTGCAGGTAACTTAACTTAGTGGATATAAAGTAAGCTGCTTGTGGTTAGTGCGAGCAGGTGCTGCAGTTGTTGCTTTATTGTGGGAGCAGCTGTGCAACATTGACAGCACAAGCTATTGCACACAGCTAACACCAAGTGTCGTTTTGTAATACAAACAGGTAACTGAAAGCGTTTTTCTGAAATTTTTTAGTTTCTTTTGGTCTTTAGATGAGCATAGGCTGTTCTTCTTGGATGCTAATAGACATAAAAATGACATGTCCCCTTTTAGGGATATTGGATTCTATTGCATTCGGGTGTCTTTTGTTTTCTCATCCCAGAAGCTTTCAATACACTTGATGTATTCAGTGGAGCCTTGAATTCTTATCTGCACAGTCAGGAAAATTGCTTTGAGGACCCTAGAAGATCTGCTTACTTGGAATTCTGTTCAGATGGCTGAAAATCTGAATTTATTTTTTTCTTCACCCTTTGTAATCAGACCAAACTGAAGTCATAAGTCAGAAGAGATCATAACTAACCAGTTATATTACGTATCTTCACTGAACTGGAAGGGAAGGAATGGTTTTATTGGGGACCTATTCACATTGTATGTCTTAACCTTGTTGCTCCTATAGGCTTTTCATACCTTTTCCATTCATATATTCAGCCAGGAAGTATTTCCCCCCACTTCGTGAAAGATAGAAAGTATCTGCAGTGCAGAACTGCAGCAAAGCTGCACAAAAAAACCTGCTGCATCTGCACTGTTTTCAGTTGTAAACTGTGTTCTTAGCATAGAGTGATGGTCTGATCTGAAGTATTTTCTTGGAGATGACCATAAAGGGAACAAATAAATGCTAGTATTTATAATAGGAAGTTTTTCTGATACTAAAGATTAAAAGCTGCTGCAGTAATATAACCTAGTGGAGATTATTTTAAATGTTTGAAATACACTAATTCAATACATTTTTATTTTTTTTTTAAAACAACTCACAGGGAGTGGAATCACTGTATGAAAGCTATGTAAATGGTTTTAAGATTTTTACTACTTTCCCAGCAGTAGAGAAAACATTTTATAGTGACATATGAACATTTAAAATGGACACGAACTTCAAACTTTTGGGGACTTTTTACGTGTATTATTTGCAAAGATAATGCCACTTCTGAGCTAAGTTTATTAATGAAGGAATAACAGGATATGTACTGTAACAGAAAATATCTCATCTAAAACAAATGTGTGACCAAACAAGTCATGCAAATGCTAAGAAAAAAACCATGCTGGAGACTGGAGTCCATTCAAAAAAAAAAAAAGGTCATTATGTTTTAACAGAAATGTTCTTTTTTTTTTCTTAAAAAATGTTTGTTTACTGTCATTTGGATTGCAATGAAACTCTAAAATTCTCTTTGAAAGGCATCTCAGTTTTGTGGTAGTCAGCCATACTCAGAAATACTGATCTGTGAGAGCTGGGGAAATGACACACTGCCCAGCCAGGTTGCAACTGCTGCTACCAAGCCTTTAATTTTAAAAATATGTCTGAGACAGAATCTTTCTTATGGAAATGGACGAGTTACAGAGAGAAGGATCTTACATAGGAAGTGTTAGATGACTTTAACTGGTAGGAATTGGTACTGACTGCCTATGGTCAGAGGAAACACCAAGCTGATTTCTTCTAAGGGTTTATCTGTATAAGGAAACTTACTGTTGTTACTGATTGTGTGTAGCAATGTGACTCCTGTGTACAATTTTATTACTGAAGAGATGTACCTAAATGGAAAACTATTGGTACAACTGTCCCTTGTAAATCAGTGTCATTGGAACATTCAGTGGAGTACGAAGAACTATTAAAGCATGTGAAATAGTTCACTTTCATCAGAGACTGATGTTCTTGTCTTGGTCTACCTGTCTATCTAAGCTGTTACTGACTTCAACCTTATTGTCTCTGCAACTCCATAGACAAAACAGCCCCAAGTCCTTCCTAATCTATTCTGTACCAAACCACCTCAGCTAGCACAAAATGCTGCGTTTGACTGGTGTCTGGCTGTGCTGAGGCAGATTAGGAGTGTGCTGTTTGGTTGGACCTTCTGTGGGAGCAGTATCCTGCAGCAGGGAAGCAGTGAGGTTTCGAATCGCTCCTGACATGCGAAACACTTCTGTCCCAGTGCTAAGAGGCAATTCATGCAGTGCAGCAGTGACCAGAGGTGTATGACAAGATGATCCCCTACAAGAGCACAAATTGCCTTAAAGCTCTTGGGGCTTTTAGAACAAAGGGGTAAGCAGGCAACGTTAAATGATGGTGCGGAGACATCCCTTGCAGGGTTACATGAAGGGTTTGCGAATGCTGGTGCCCTTGCCTATGTGCAAGTTCAAAATTGTCAGGGGAGACACTGCAGCTGTTGTTTTGTACATGCGAATAGAGAGAGATTATTAACACCTTGAGCCACATCTCTCAGATGTTGTCCCAGGTACGTCATGGGGGATACGATAATAAGAAAAGTGCTTTTCAGCCTAGCTCATGCCCTTTTCTGAACCCTGGTGCCTTCTGCACCTTACTGACATTGTGGGATAAGGTGTGTGCCTTGCACTTTCTATTCCAAGTCTGGTTTTAATTGGTGATTACACCTGTAATCAGGTTGGCAGAAGGTTTCCCTTGTGTATCTTCTGCCTAAAGCAGATTGATTTGGAAAATTGGGGTAAGGAAAATGTTTGGCTGAGTTTTGGCAAGCCTGTTTGTGTGGCATTTTACTTCTCCCCAGGTGTCAAATGTCCTTCAATATTTAATTTTTCATGTAAATAACATCTCAAGTTGAAAACACCTTCTCTTCTTTTAAGGCTGTACTGTCAGGCTTTTGGTACAATATATTCTAACAGCAAAGGGTAAAAAAAATTGCATTTTAATGTAAAAAATACATTATTTTGGCCCTGTAACAGGTCCTTCCCAGAATCCCTGGCAGTCTGTACTGGTCTGTATAGTTCTGGTCATGAAGAACATTGCCATTTTAAAGTACTCTGTACATTGACATGAGTATGCTCTGTATGGGTGCCTACTCAGTGCAGGTGAACAGTGGATGTAATCTGAAGCAGAGAATAGAAATCTCTAAAGAAGGCAATCATTTGTTTTCCTCCACAATATGTTATCTAATGCTTAAGTGTTCAAATAGGGATGACCTGTATCTAGCAGAAGTCATAGTGTAAAAGTGACATGGTCATTTTCTCTATTCATCCCTTCTCTGCTCTTAGCATCCTTTTATCTTAATGCATCACTTGGCTTAATACCCTTTGACACAAGGCTTTTTGAAAATTAGGAACCTATTCCTGGACCAGAAGTGATGCTGTTGACACTGTTGAGAGAGGAATGTATTTACAAGTTCTGGGCCTCCCTGTGCCCGCTCTGAAAAGAATACCTTAACTTCTACTGCTAGGGTAGGCCCTGAATTCGCAGAAAAGGGAAAAAAAAGAAGAAGAAAAAAAAAAAGCATTATAGCTTGTAAAGAGGCACATAAGTACCTGCATATGAACATTCAAGACAAGACTGTCAAAACTGAGGGCGCATGCACTTAATTAGTTTCCCATAAGTACTTGGCATGAAGAGCTAATACAAGCTTCAACAAATTTAGCCAGGAATCCCACCTCAGGATGTCTAGGTATCTACATCAGCTATCCTATGTAAGCTCCCTAGGACTCTGTGCTCCATTATGTGTGTGTCACCCATCACTGTAGCTCATGAAGCCATGGGATATAAGCTGACCTAAGATTTCAGCCTTGGGGAATTAAAATTTTTGCTGTATCATTTTTCTGCTGCTGTGCCGCTGGGAAAGTGGACGTTAACCGCTAGATGGCAGTGTGAAATTCACCCCGAGCTTCACTGGCGCCGGCGACACGCAGGCCAGCAGCGGTCTAACTAGGACAACTCTTTCTCTGTGCAGCTCCACTGATTTCACACCTGCTAATTAAACACAGGACAGCAGCTGCTAGTCAATACATAGCACCACAGAGGACTCAAGCACAAGTAGTTTGGGAGGGGCTAAATGGTCATCTTCACTAAAATATGTTGGTGTTAATTGGAGAGCAATTTTTCATTAACTGAAATGATGTCTCCTCTGACACTGGACACCTTATACCAGATTTGGACTCTGTTGAGTCCTGATGTTCTAAAATAACCGTGTGACTAAAACCCTCTGCTCCAGAGCATGGTTTTTGTGGCCACTTTACCCCTTTTGGAGACGTGCTTCCAGTTAGTGCTACCTTCACAAGCTGGGACGTTTTGGTCCACTAAAGCCAGCTTAGTTATGGTAATTTTCTACAGTCCCTCAGTAATGAAATGCTGGCCACTGTTGTCTGTTTCTGTTCTGAATATGGGTTGAAGGATGATTGAAGGATGACAGGACCTGGTCCTGCTTCTTGGAAGTCAGGGGAGGACTTGGGCACAATCGAGGAAATAGATCATGCTGTTGCAGGTCCAAAAGCAGTTGCACCGCTCATTGGGAAGCAGGACCACGGCCTTTGGTGAAGAAGAGCAGAGACAGACCCATCTTCCTCATGCACTAGTTTGTCAACACTGAGTCTTGTTGAGTTGTAACCACGGTGCAGGGATTTTATTGAATGAAGCGATGCTATGTGTGACTTTAGCCAAGCCAGCTTGAGCACGCAAGGCTGCTCAGGTGCAGCTGCTTCCTATGTGTGTATGCATTGAGCTGCCAGGACATGCTACCATTACCTACTCTCATGGGTATAATGCTAGCTCTGGTACCTCTGCCCTTACCTGAAATAGTCAGGTGACAAGCCTAATGCTGCTTTATCAGTAGTGCTCATGAGCAGTGCTCCTGCCACTGCAGAAGAGGTCCTGCTGTGCTTGGCCTTCTCATTCTTCTGGGTTTGGGATGCTTTGTAAAGATGTACTTGGTTAATTACAGGTGGTTTCCTGATGTGTCCTGTCTATTCTCCAAGTCACCTCTCCAACAGACCAAAGAACAGCTGAATAAATGTGTGTGCTGCTACTACCAAGAAGCTTTGGAAGGAGGCAGGGGGAAAAGAAAAGGGACCTGTATTTGTATTGTTGATGTACATCCCCCGTCCTTCTCCTTTTGCCACAGCCTGTCACTGGGACAAGAAGCCAGACAGATAACCTTCTTCCCTTTCCAGACCCAAGGTGCTTACACACATCTGTCCCTGCTCTAGCTCTAGCTTTGAGCCACACACACATCCACACATGAATGTGAGTTTTATTTCTGGTTTTACTAGAGGATAGTGAGAACACACTCCCCCTGTGCATCATAGCGTATGGTGCCCACCGACTGCTGGCTGCTTCTTGCACTGACAGTTTCTCTGCTGCAGAATGAGCCAAAATGACCATTTGCATGTACCCCCAGCCCAAGAACATGGTCAGTGTGGAGGGCATATAACCCTTTGCAGCACTGTGCCACACTGTTGAGTGGTATTGCAAATTTCACTGTGTTGTTTTAGAGGTCTAGCCTGCAAAGACCCTGAGCTCAGCTGAAGGTTACAATAAAAGGAGAGAGTGTTCAGTATTTTGAACAGGCAAATGAAACACAGAAACATCTGGATTTTAAAACATTTTCAAATGTCAATGTTGATCATTATTTAACTTAAAAATTAAAAACTTATAAATTAAGACTAGAAAACTGCTTGGCTTCTGACATTCAGACAGAAAATGTAAGAGAGTGATTTGTCTTAGGTGAGATCTGGGTTTTTGTTAGAAGGGGATTTCTGAGCAAAACCCCAAAAGCTGGATGAATTCTGCTTGTCATTAGCAGTGTCACAGGCATAGCTAGGCCCTTCTTGGAGCTGAAATTTTATCTTGTGTCATTGCGGAAGGAAGGGGACAACGAGGGACGGCTGGGTCCAGGGCAATCCAAAATCACTACTCATGCATCACTAACAACAGCTAAAAATATTACAGCAAATCATATCAAGAGAGGCGCCTGTGCTGAACCAGACAGAGCCACCTAGCACACCAGCAGTTCTGCACATTTGCAGTAAGAGCAGGTTAGTCTGTATTGACTTTCTCATTTCTTTTTTAATTGCTAATACATTGGCGGCTCTGTGCTTGTCTGAGCTATGCAGGCTAAAATTTGGACAGAGAGTAGAGGAAGGGAAAAATGAGATATAACCCATTTTGCTACAGGATTGTTACTCAGCAGCCATGGCCAGGACATGATCCTCGTCCCCTGGGCTTTGTAACCTGTCCTTTCAGCTTTCAGCTGGCACTTAATAGCACAGGTTTCTTACAGCAGAAACCACATGTCCTCATATGTTTGAAAATGCCTGTACACAGAGATGTCCCACCCTCTAACCCCCCTAACAAATGCTAGTAATCTCTTTGTTGCTGTAGGAGTTTCACAGGCTTCCTGTTCCCCAGGTCTATGCCTGCATAGCAGATAGAAGCCGTGCAGGGCAATGCCTTCCCATGCTTTACAGTGCTAGACTTAGCCTGGGTAGTGCTGGAGTTGGTGAGGTTTTGCAGTGACTTCCAGAGGACCCCTTTACTTACAAGGCCATGTGAAGGATCGAGCCATGAAAACAAACCCCTCCCAAATCTTGGGACAGTTGTGGAGAGTGGGGTGTGTGACTCTGTTGCATCACCTCACCATAGCATCCCACTCATCACATGATCTCAGCAGGTGAGTTGAGAGGTCTAGCCATAAGGTAGCAGTTGGCTAAAATTGTACTGAAATAGAAGCATACAGATCCAAAGATCAAACACCATGCTTTGCAAGGAGCAGCTTGTCTCTTGTATCAAATGGCAGCCTCCTCTATAAGAACAGGCACAGAGCAGCACTCAGAAAGTTCAAATGTGGTTACTCAGTGATCTGAATTCATAGGGAACCTGCCTAAGTATGATTACTGTTTTGAAAGA